ATCGTCAGTGTCGGATGTACGTGTTTATATGCTGTGTTTACTACGTATTATATACAATGGGATGCTGATACTGATGTGATATTTTCTCATCCTCTTCAAGCACACATAATTAGGGTATCATCAATATTGATATTTATATCTGTAAGTTCGAGAAATCTTGTCTTTATCAGCATAATTACGATAACGCTACTGTGACGACAGTTTCTTGAGTTCGATTGTTCCAAGTGTAGTTTTTTTTCTCAATTTCACTATTTTATCATATAATAATAGATAGGAAGATAAACGTAACACACATATTTGATTACATCTTTAACCCTTTCACCACTGTAGACCATAATGGACTCATCCAGACCAATGCATTGTAGAGTCTACTTAAGTTACATAGGGTTGAAAGGGTTAACATTTTGTAATAGATACCTTACAGTATGCCAAAAATGAATACAGCACTGCATCATACAACTGTTCTTCATTACTAGAAGTTTGTCGTTAAGCTACCCAGACTTTTCCCAGCAGGGCTTTGTACACTGGCTTTTATATAGGCTTCGTGAATTATTGAACTTAGTACTAGCGTACTAGCCGTTTACGTCTACAACATATCCACCACTTGTCCCTGATCAGGAACAATCGGTAATCCAACACACTCAGCTGGTAGCTATAATATTTACAGCGCCATGGAAACAAAATCATTGGCATGGATTGGGCTGTCAACAGGAAGTAAACATCAATGGTAGATAGAATTATAACAGATGTTTCAGCAGCGACAAAGGAAGCAAAAATGTCTCGTGTTTCTTACCGCATGATTTCAATATGAAATACTGAAATACTACTAAATTACATTCAATTTAAAAAGGTCACATTTCTCTACGAGTTTTAATGATTTATAGCTATGGAAGACCACACAATACTTGATCCGCAATAACTCCACTGTATCTGAAGCCCACTACAACTACTTCCTTAACAGCTAGCAATATTATCAACATATTTCGTGGAACATTTTATGTCTGTGCATATAAATAAGACGAAATATGTAAATTTAATTGCTTTTAGGAATAATGTAAAAAATATGAAGGACACAATGGAATATAAAGAAGGGTGGGTATATATTGCGAGTTGTTGCAGATTATGCATGCATGCATGCTTCTTAAGATTTTAGCATTGACATGTAGAAATATTAAAATATGTTTATGTGTTTTCCAATACAGATGATAATATTTCTGCATTTACAATGACCGTGCATTGATTTTATTAGTACGAAGTACGAAGGAGGAAGCGCCTTTTAAAAATGTAAGTATGTCAGTGTGGGTAGCTAATCCAAATAAACATTTTTAACTGTACGATATGTCCATTTCATCCTTAGGTAAGTATGTCACTTATATTGAACTTGTTATTCATTGCATCATTGCATTCAACATTTGACTTGTTAGTATTGCACATTTTAATCCGATGACGATAAATAAAATATTATCAAAATGTTCACATAGAAATTGTCGATGTTTGTTCAGATTTAGTAAAGCAAAAAACAAAATAGTAGGTAGTCGTGTTACTCCGAAAAATCCATTTAATCAAAACTCATTGGTGCGTCAAAAAGCCTAAACAGCGTTGATATCCGCACACTACGTCAAAGAAGATACATAGAAGAGTATGGAATTCTCTTCAACTGTAATAATTCCATTAAATGTCAACGAAACACAGGAAAAAAATATGGTTTCTTTTTCAATACTCGAATTAACAATATATTTTACTCGTATGGTAGCCTTTTTAATAATAACGGTGCCGCGGTGGCCAAGTGGTTAAATCGTCTGACTTTCTGCTAACACAAGCCCTCCACCACTGGGTCGCGGGTTCGAGTCAGACGTGGGGGAGTTGCCAGGTACTGGTCGCAGATCGGTAGATTTTCTCCGGCTACTCCAGCTCTCCTTCGCCACCAAAACCTGGCACATCCTTAAATGACCATAGCTGTTAATAGGACGTAAAACACAAACAAATTGTCACACTCGTAATTTCAACAGACATCGTTATAAATTCATCTACCGCTAGAATTGCAGATAAAACTATGTAAACGAAGCCTAATATAAAGGTTATTAGTTATCCAATCAAATATCAACTCTTTAAAAGATAAAAACATACTTGTATGCTGTGATAAAGCTGGTTGACTAGATATCAAACGTTACATTGAACAGAAGTAGAAGGGAATTGAATGAGAAAAAGTATACAGTCAACACAAAATGTTTCAATGCCCATACGAAGAGACAACAACTAGGATACTTACCACTACAAAAGCAAAGACATAAACAACTGCAATGAACACATTAGCTTTTGAAATATGAAGACATCTTACAAAAGAGGAAAAAATACAGTGTCATAAACATATTAGGAATTACATATAATCATATGTTATATATACTCATATGTTATATATACTCATATGTTATATATAATCATATGTTATATATAATCATATGTTATATATAATCATATGTAATTGAATACCGAGTTGTATACTGTAGGACCCCTCGATTGATCTGAGATGTATTCCGTTAAGTGTTTGAGTATCGTCAGAATAAATGAATGAATAATACCACTGTAACTCTGGTAGTATAACGAAATAGGTGTGAGTTACAAATCAGACCAAGGATATACATAAGGGTATACCTGCACCAACTGATGCATCGCACTGATCTATCTTAATGTTTATCACGACAACTTTTGTGATAACTGACGTTTAAATGTATGAGTCAGAGCCTTTCACACGTAACAAATAACCTCACGTCTGCATAGGTATGAACTATATGCACCGGAGGAGACGACGATATCAAGTAAAATAGGCGTTCGATGAAATATGGTTTTGATCACGATATCAAAGCGAACATACTGACAGGAAACGAGAAACACGCAATTGTAGAAATTGATCCGATGTCGATATTTCCTTGGAAGGATTCTTGTAATACACCCAAATGTGTTATAGGCTATGAAAAATACATTTATTGTTTTATCTAACATACACTCGTGTTCATGCTATACACATAATCAACTTTTTCACTTGATGGTTATGTTAAAGTGTTATACCAAGTTATATATTAATTTAAATTTGGATTCTTAGTCAGTAACACGTTCTCAATAGACTGATGGATATGATGACAAATTCAAAACTCGCATTTATCCGTGAAAATGTTCAGTTACAATCATTTTGTGGAGAGGACAGAAAACAGTGACTTGATATATCTCCTAGCTATTTGGCAGAGGTAATTACCTCTAAATCGATATATCAAACACATAGGAGATTAAATCAGTTACTTCAGAGCAAAAGGCGTCATGTTAAACGCATACATAAATATATAATTGCTTTAAAATATACTGTTCATACGGAAACGATAGTAATGAAAGAATTAAAATTACAAGGCTTTGATACCTATGTTAATCATGACTTCAAATAATTAAGTTTTCATTACTTGTTGATATTTTATATTTCTATTATGATAAAGAACGTGTTGTGTTCACAATGTATTGAACGTGTCATAATTTAGGTGTCGTTGATACAGAGATAGTGCTCGAGACGACACAGCAATTCTGGGTCAAACGGTTAAAGGTAGCATTGATATAAAAATTACCATATATAGTAAAAACAGAGTATGCCTGATGCCCTTATTTGGATGTTTATATTTAGTATACACCATCAAAATGTCCTGATACACGTAGTTGATATGCAATTTCACGACTTATCACTAACGATCGGAGAAGAGATGTCGTACGATTAAAACTAATAATGAAACTAAGTTATTATTTTAAAAAGTGAATTACTCAATCTAACATGTGATTACAAAGTCAAATTAGTGGTTAAGACATATATTTGTATATATGTGAAGTTGGGCGTACATCTTTAACAGTATTCAAGCAATCAAACAGGGTAATGCACAACTCTTTATCCATACACGTTTAATTATATAAAAATATGATTACATATTAAGTCAGGTCGATAAACACAGCAAAAGAATATACTTCGAATATTATCCGTACGTAAACCGTCCTTTTCTCGTTAGTAACATCTCAGCTTCCACGGCTTTACGCGTTTGCATGTCGCAGTTGATATTGTATTCAAGAGCTTGGTCTAAACAATTCCATGACCGATTAACTTCTGATAGGGAAACCCACAACACAGTATTTCCAGAGATGCAGGTTGATGAAGACATTGCCTAGTTGTTTAGCTGTAGCTAACCTGGTTCATGCTCTGAGCACGTGACATTACTTGGATTTGACCTAAACATGCAAGGCATGTATCATCGATGAAGAAGGAGACGCTTACTCTTCCGAATCAGTTTTAATGTTGACATTTCTTTGTTCATAGTTTGCCCTTTGCTGTTTTATCGATTTTGAGCTCGAATCAGGGTTTTTGACGACTCGCTTTGGGCCCGTTTGTATCGACTGTATGCGTTAAAGCTGTGGGGCTTTTCGTTATACCATAGGTTCGAGTTTGACCTTGTATGTTGACTCTGTGGGGCTTTTCGTTATACCATAGGTACCGAATTTGACCTTGTATGTTGACTCTGTGGGGCTTTCCGTTATACCATAGGTACCGAGTTTGACCTTGCATGTTGACTCTGTGGGGCTTTTCGTTATACCATAGGTTCGAGTTTGACCTTGTATGTTGACTCTGTGGGGCTTTCCGTTATACCATAGGTACCGAGTTTGACCTTGTCTGCTGACTCTCTGGGGCTTTTCGTTATTCCATAGGTTCCGAGTTTGACCTTGTATGTGGACTCTGTGGGGCTTTTCGTTATACCATAGGTACCGAATTTGACCTTGTATGTTGACTCTGTGGGGCTTTTTGTTATAGCTTTTCGTTATACCATAGGTTCCGAGTTTGACCTTGCATGTTGACTCTGTGGGGTTTTTCGTTATACCATAGGTACCGAGTTTGACCTTGTATGTTGACTCTGTGGGGCTTTTTGTTATATCATAGGTATCGAGTTTGACCTTGTGTGTTGACGCTATGGGGCTTTTCGCTATACCATAGGTATCGAGTTTGATTTTAATGTTGACTCTGTGCGGCTTTTTGTTATATCATAGGTATCGAGTTTGATCTTGTATGTTGACTCTGTGGGGCTTTTCGTTATACCATAGGTTCCGAGTTTGACCTTGTATGTTGACTCTGTGGGGCTTTTCGTTATACCATAGGTTCCGAGTTTGACCTTGTATGTTGACTCTGTGGGGCTTTTCGTTATACCATAGGTTCCGAGTTTGACCTTGTATGTTGACTCTGTGGGGCTTTTCGTTATACCATAGGTACCGAGTTTGACCTTGTATGTTGACTCTGTGGGGCTTTTCGTTATACCATAGGTACCGAGTTTGACCTTGTATGTTGACTCTGTGGGGCTTTTCGTTATACCATAGGTACCGAGTTTGACCTTGTATGTTGACTCTGTGGGGCTTTTCGTTATACCATAGGTACCGAGTTTGACCTTGTATGTTGACTCTGTGGGGCTTTTCGTTATACCATAGGTACCGAGTTTGACCTTGTATGTTGACTCTGTGGGGCTTTTCGTTATACCATAGGTACCGAGTTTGACCTTGTATGTTGACTCTGTGGGGCTTTTCGTTATACCATAGGTACCGAGTTTGACCTTGTATGTTGACTCTGTGGGGCTTTTCGTTATACCATAGGTACCGAGTTTGACCTTGTATGTTGACTCTGTGGGGCTTTTCGTTATACCATAGGTACCGAGTTTGACCTTGTATGTTGACTCTGTGGGGCTTTTCGTTATACCATAGGTTCCGAGTTTGACCTTGTATGTTGACTCTGTGGGGCTTTTCGTTATACCATAGGTTCCGAGTTTGACCTTGTATGTTGACTCTGTGGGGCTTTTCGTTATACCATAGGTTCCGAGTTTGACCTTGTATGTTGACTCTGTGGGGCTTTTCGTTATACCATAGGTTCCGAGTTTGACCTTGTATGTTGACTCTGTGGGGCTTTTCGTTATACCATAGGTTCCGAGTTTGACCTTGTATGTTGACTCTGTGGGGCTTTTCGTTATACCATAGGTTCCGAGTTTGACCTTGTATGTTGACTCTGTGGGGCTTTTCGTTATACCATAGGTTCCGAGTTTGACCTTGTATGTTGACTCTGTGGGGCTTTTCGTTATACCATAGGTTCCGAGTTTGACCTTGTATGTTGACTCTGTGGGGCTTTTCGTTATACCATAGGTTCCGAGTTTGACCTTGTATGTTGACTCTGTGGGGCTTTTCGTTATACCATAGGTTCCGAGTTTGACCTTGTATGTTGACTCTGTGGGGCTTTTCGTTATACCATAGGTTCCGAGTTTGACCTTGTATGTTGACTCTGTGGGGCTTTTCGTTATACCATAGGTTCCGAGTTTGACCTTGTATGTTGACTCTGTGGGGCTTTTCGTTATACCATAGGTTCCGAGTTTGACCTTGTATGTTGACTCTGTGGGGCTTTTCGTTATACCATAGGTTCCGAGTTTGACCTTGTATGTTGACTCTGTGGGGCTTTTCGTTATACCATAGGTTCCGAGTTTGACCTTGTATGTTGACTCTGTGGGGCTTTTCGTTATACCATAGGTTCCGAGTTTGACCTTGTATGTTGACTCTGTGGGGCTTTTCGTTATACCATAGGTTCCGAGTTTGACCTTGTATGTTGACTCTGTGGGGCTTTTCGTTATACCATAGGTTCCGAGTTTGACCTTGTATGTTGACTCTGTGGGGCTTTTCGTTATACCATAGGTTCCGAGTTTGACCTTGTATGTTGACTCTGTGGGGCTTTTCGTTATACCATAGGTTCCGAGTTTGACCTTGTATGTTGACTCTGTGGGGCTTTTCGTTATACCATAGGTTCCGAGTTTGACCTTGTATGTTGACTCTGTGGGGCTTTTCGTTATACCATAGGTTCCGAGTTTGACCTTGTATGTTGACTCTGTGGGGCTTTTCGTTATACCATAGGTTCCGAGTTTGACCTTGTATGTTGACTCTGTGGGGCTTTTCGTTATACCATAGGTTCCGAGTTTGACCTTGTATGTTGACTCTGTGGGGCTTTTCGTTATACCATAGGTTCCGAGTTTGACCTTGTATGTTGACTCTGTGGGGCTTTTCGTTATACCATAGGTTCCGAGTTTGACCTTGTATGTTGACTCTGTGGGGCTTTTCGTTATACCATAGGTTCCGAGTTTGACCTTGTATGTTGACTCTGTGGGGCTTTTCGTTATACCATAGGTTCCGAGTTTGACCTTGTATGTTGACTCTGTGGGGCTTTTCGTTATACCATAGGTTCCGAGTTTGACCTTGTATGTTGACTCTGTGGGGCTTTTCGTTATACCATAGGTTCCGAGTTTGACCTTGTATGTTGACTCTGTGGGGCTTTTCGTTATACCATAGGTTCCGAGTTTGACCTTGTATGTTGACTCTGTGGGGCTTTTCGTTATACCATAGGTTCCGAGTTTGACCTTGTATGTTGACTCTGTGGGGCTTTTCGTTATACCATAGGTTCCGAGTTTGACCTTGTATGTTGACTCTGTGGGGCTTTTCGTTATACCATAGGTTCCGAGTTTGACCTTGTATGTTGACTCTGTGGGGCTTTTTGTCATATCATAGGTATCGAGTTTGACCTTGTGTGTTGACGCTTTAGGGCTTTTCGCTATACCATAGGTACCGAGTTTGATTTTAATGTTGACTCTGTGCGGCTTTTTGTTATATCATAGGTATCGAGTTTGATCTTGTATGTTGACTCTGTGGGACTTTTCGTTATACCATAGGTTCCGAGTTTGACCTTGTATGTTGACTCTGTGGGGCTTTTCGTTATACCATAGGTACCGAGTTTGACCTGGTATGTTGACTTTGGGGGGCTTTTCGTTATACCATAGGTATCGAGTTTGACCTTGTATGTTGACTCTGTTGGGCTTTTCGTTATACCATAGGTTCCGAGTTTGACCTTGTATGTTGACTCTGTGGGGCTTTTCGTTATACCATAGGTTCCGAGTTTGACCTTGTATGTTGACTCTGTGGGGCTTTTCGTTATACCATAGGTTCCGAGTTTGACCTTGTATGTTGACTCTGTGGGGCTTTTCGTTATACCATAGGTACCGAGTTTGATCTTGTATGTTGACTCTGAGGGGCTTTTTGTTATATCATAGGTATCGAGTTTGATCTTGTATGTTTACTCTGTGGGACTTTTCGTTATATCATAGGTACCGAATTTGACCTTGTATGTTGAGGCTGTGGGGCTTTTTGTTATATCATAGGTATCGAGTTTGACCTTGTGTGTTGACGCTTTGGGGCTTTTCGCTATACCATAGGTACCGAGTTTGATTTTGTATGTTGACTCTGTGGGGCTTTTTGTTATATCATAGGTATCGAGTTTGATCTTGTATGTTGACTCTGTGGGACTTTTCGTTATACCATAGGTACCGAATTTGACCTTGTATGTTGAGGCTGTGGGGCTTTTTGTTATATCATAGGTATCGAGTTTGACCTTGTGTGTTGACGCTTTGGTGCTTTTTGTAATACTAAAAGTACCGAGTTTGCCTTGTTTATGCTTTGTAGTTCCTTTTTTCAACTGTACTTTCAGGGTTTATTAAATTTGACTGTTATTTTTACAAAAGATACCAAAACAGTGTTTAACTCCAACAAAATATGTTGTCGTTGATATCTGCTACTGAGAGAAAAGAATATAACAGAGTGCATAGTTACTATAACATATTACTAGAAGAGTATAACAGAGTGCATAGTTACTATAACATATTACTAGAAGAGTATAACAGAGTGCATAGTTACTATAACATATTACTAGAAGAGTATAACAGAGTGCATAGTTACTATAACATATTACTAGAAGAGTATAACAGAGTGCATAGTTACTATAACATATTACTAGAAGAGTATAACAGAGTGCATAGTTACTATAACATATTACTAGAAGAGTATAACAGAGTGCATAGTTACTATAACATATTACTAGAAGAGTATAACAGAGTGCATAGTTACTATAACATATTACTAGAAGAGTATAACAGAGTGCATAGTTACTATAACATATTACTAGAAGAGTATAAATTTGACTACAATATTTTCACTTTGTTTCTTCAAAACGAGCGTCCTATTTATATAATTAGGAAAAACAATACATTTAGTTTCAAGATATACAAAATATACTTACACTTCTGAACATCTGTTTCAGAAATAATGAATACTTTCGTTCAAATACTACCTTGGCTCCGTACATATTACGCACTGAGGTGTAAATGAAAGTCTTTTAAATAGCTCTCCTATGGTAAGTATTTAAAGATTTATAAACCTATATTTACGTCAATGAAGATTTGTTTGCCTTCAGATATAATAACGTTTTGATCAGATACAAATAGGAATGAGCGAAACTGTATTGTTGTATCTGTAATGATATTAGCATTAATGCGTATTTTTGGCACATAATTGAGCGGATTGCTCCATATTAATACAGTTATTAATGCTTGATCCCGTAAATGGCATACTGTCTTTATTTGATTATTTAAATATGACGTAGATGGCACACATGGTATTGTCCGGGTCCGTAGTTATATTACAATCCACTCATTCATAAAAACCTGTATTTAAACGTAACTTTGAAATATGTTTAAAATATGACGTAAGTCTTTGTCTAGCAATTTAATTTTGATTCCTCTCCTGTCTAACGTTACTACTTTGATGTCAGACTTACTATCAGTTAATATAACGTTATGCTTTATATTGTGTCTGTAATAACTCGCTTTATTTAGATCTTATATACACAGCAACGGAACTCCTTATGATAATTGTATGGTTGTACCACATTGAAAACCAAGAGCTAAACAGCAATTTATAATGTCAAATTTGCTTCAGACAAAAACAGTGTACACTAAAAGTGACATTACATTGGCATCAACCAAGAACAGGAGAGATGAACAGTACATCCCTTTGACATCCACCAAGAAGAACAAAAATAACGTCATTACATTAGTACCAACAAATATCAGAAAATGAAGTATTTGGGTCACCTGCTCGACCAAGTGTGTTGATACGGGTACTCAGAATCCATTCAGACCCTCTTCGCGCTTCTATCCGTGCAAACAAAAGTGTTGTAAAATGAAGTTTACATAATTAACAACACCGACATTTTTCATCACATTCGCGTCAATCAAAATTGTGACGGAAATAATGACAACACTTTGGCATCAGCAAAGAACAGAAATCATAACATCACATTGGTAAAATAAAGATCATAAACATAATTCAGAACCTAACATCGAAATCAACCAAGAACACAAAATAAATAAAATAATTAATATCATCATTTCGGATCAACTTAGAACCGACTGGAAATAACAACATTGTCTTGACATGAACAAAGAACAAAAAGCAATTGAACAAAAACATCACAGCCAACATCTTTTAACATGTTTGGACTCATTGACGTAAAGATCCCGTCATATTAGGTCCAATACTTTGACCTTATGTGTTGACGCTTTGGGGATTTTTGTTATACTATAGATACCGAGTTTGACCTTGTGTGTTGGCGCTGTGGGGCTTTTCGTTATAGTATAGGTACCGATTTCGACCTTGTGTATTGACTCTGTGGGTTTTTTCGTTATACTATAGGTACCGATTTTGACCTTGTATGTTGATGATGTGTGGTATTTTTGTTATATTATAGGTACCGAGTTTGACCTTGTGTGTTGACGTTTTGGGGCTTTTCTTTATACGTGTATCATACATGTGTCATAGGTACCGATTTTGACCATGTGTGTTGACTCTGAGGGGCTTTTCGTTATACTATAGGTACCGATTTTGACCTTATGTGTTGACGCTTTGGGGCTTTTTGTTATATTATATGTACCGAGTTTGACCCTGTGTGTTGACGCTTTGGGGCTTTTTGTTATATCATAGGTACCAAGTTTGACCTTGTATTTTGACGCTTTGGGGCTTTTTGTGATATAAAAGGTACCGAGTTTGACCTTAAGTGTTGAAGCTTTGGAGCTTTTTGTTATATTATAGGTACCGGGTTTGACCTTATGTATTTTGATGCTTTTGGGCTTTTTGTTATATTAAAGGTACCAAGTTTAATCTTGTGTTTTGTCGCTATGGGGCTTTTCGTTATATTATAAGTACCGAGTTTGACCTTATGTCTTGACGCTTTGGAGCTTTTTGTTATATTATAGGTACCGATTTTGACCTTATGTGTTGACGATTTGGGGCTTTTTGTTATATTAAAGGTACCAAGTTTAATCTTGTGTTTTTTCGCTATGGGGCTTTTCGTTATATTATAAGTACCGAGTTTGACCTTATGTGTTGACGCTTTGGGGCTTTTTGTTATGTTAAAGGTACCAAGTTTAATCTTGTGTTTTGTCGCTATGTGGCTTTTCGTTATATTATGAGTACCGAGTTTGACCTTGTATGTTGAGCCTGTGGGGCTTTTTGTTATATCATAGGTATCGAGTTTGACCTTGTGTGTTGACGCTTTAGGGCTTTTTGTAATACTAAAGGTACCGAGTTTGCCTTGTTTATGCTTTGTAGTTCCCTTTTTCAACTGTACTTTCAGGGTTGATTGTATTTGACTGTTCTTTTTACAAAATATACCAAAACAGTGTTTAACTCCAACAAAATATGTTGTTGTTGATATCTGCTACTGAGAGAAAAGAATATAACAGAGTGCATAGTTACAATAACATATTACTAGAAGAGTATAAATTTGACCACAATCTTTTCACTTTGTTTCTTTAAACCACGCGTCCTATTAATATAATAAGGAAAAACAATACATTAAGTTTCAAGATATACAAAATATACTTACACTTCTTAACATCTGTTTCAGAAATAATGAATATTTTCGTTCAAATACTACCCGATACTGTCTTGGCTCCGTACGAATTACGCACTCAGGGGTAAATAAAAGTCTTTTAAATAGCTCTCCTATGGTAAGTATTTAAAGATTGATAAACCTATATTTACGTCAATGAAGATTTGTTTGCCTTCAGATATAATAACGTTTTGATCAGATACAAATAGGAATGAGCGAAACTGTATTGTTGTATCTGTAATGATATTAGCATTAATGCGTATTTTTGGCACATAATTGAGCGGATTGCTCCATATTAATACAGTTATTAATGCTTGATCCCGTAAATGGAATACTGTCTTTATTTGATTATTTAAATATGACGTAGATGGCACACATGGTATTGTCCGGGTCCGTAGTTATATTACAATACACTCTTTCATAAAAACCTGTATTTAAACGTAACTTTGAAATATGTTTAAAATATGACGTAAGTCTTTGTCTAGCAATTTAATTTTGATTCCTCTTCTGTCTAACGTTACTACTTTGATGTCAGACTTACTATCAGTTAATATAACGTTATGCTTTATATTGTGTCTGTAATAACTTGCTTTATTTAGATCTTATATACACAGCAACGGAACTCCTTATGATAATTGTATGGTTGTACCACTTTGAAAACCAAGAGCTAAACAGCAATTTATAATGTCAAATTTGCTTCAGACAAAAACAGTGTACACTAAAAGTGACATTACATTGGCATCAACCAAGAACAGGAGAGATGAACAGTACATTACATTG